CGTATAAAGGCCGAGGCAGCGTCTGAGCCTCAGGCGCGTCTTCTGGCCGCTTCACCGCGTGGAGAGGTGGCAGGGGCACCGAGGCAGGTAGGGTGCTGCCTAATTGCAAAATGGAAGCGGGGGAGCTGCCTGTCGCAGTTATCAATGCCTCAGAAATCTTCTCTAAGCTCATCCAGTGCTTCTCTCTTTTTAATGCAAAAAAAAAAAGAAATATGAAATGAGCTGAAGCATTAAGCATAGTTCTAGCTCACTCTGCCTGATTACTCTTGCTTTCTCTATCATTCTCTCCTTCTCCTTGTACACCCTGCCAGAAATACAAGGGGAGGAAGAAGGGAGCGTGTCAGGCTAGTGAAACTGGAGCATGTTACTGTAACGTAGCATATATGCTTTTTGCAGCCATCATTTGTTTCTGTGCCATTGATTTAAAAATTTGACTCTCTTCATATACAAACAAGGCAGAAATATATTATTTATGTAATGCACAGAGGAAATTTTGAAATTAAACTGTCGTATTCTTTAACCAGCTTTGCTGAGAGGAACTGTTTTCCTTCAGTTCGGCAGGTAGTGATTTTCATCGTGCTTTGTGTGCAGCCAGGTCCTCCTGGCGTGAGCACTGAATCTTCCACGCAGCTGGTGGGGAAAATATAAATGCTTTCCAGATAGGGAAATCTGTCTGAACGCTGGCAGCAGCTCAGGCCTAACTACATACTACAAGGAGGTCCTCTCAGTTCAATTTTACAACTTAAGCTAACTCCTTCAAATGATATTGTTTGGCCAGGGCAGCATTGGCGACACAGCTTCTTTTGGCTTGTGCTTACTTCACAGAATCACAGAATGGTTAAGGTTGGAAGGGACCTCTAGAGATCATCTAGTCCAACCCCTCTGTGTTACTTGCTTGTTGAAAGTGATTTGTTAAGAAAAATGTTGAATACTTATGTGTTTTGCTGTGAATCCTAGATTACTTTTGAAAACTGTTTTATTTCATTTTGCTCCAGAGTCACATCTGAAGTCTTTTCTTCCTTGTTGCTGCTCGTGGTTCTGTGTTATGATTCCTCACAGAATAGCCTACATTAGTTAGCAAAGGGCTTTTTTAATTTTTTTTTTTTTTTGACTCTGGGCTGTCCGTAGAGATCATGGGTATGTTTCCAAGGGAGTTTAAACTGACTGATCAGGGGTGATTGAGGTTTTTGGTAGTGTTGCTTAAAGGCAGCAAATGTCTCTCTAAAAGCAGATTAGGGACAGTTATATCGAAGTTAGCTTGATTTTTTTGATTCTTGAGACAAGTAGAGGGAAAAGAAGTAGCTGGTCTCAGTGCAGACTAGCAGAGATGATAGAACCGTTAGCGCTGGCGGAGCAGCAAGAAGCTTATTTACATGAATGGCTGTTGCACACACAGCTGGGTGGGAGGGAATGACAGAGTTCGGCATCCTTGATGTGGAGTGCTCCCCGTGGCCGTCCAAAGACATACCCAGAAAACCATATCTTGATCAAGAGTGTTCTGTTCTCTGTGGTTTATAAATGTTACATTTTATTTTTACTCTTCCAGAAACATCATTTGACTCACTGGAGAATTAAAACTGACAGCACCACAGAGCTGTGTGGGAGAAAAGGGGATTTTAGACTCAAGTGACACACTCAAGTCTTGAGAAGTAGAGATGTTTGGATGGCTTCTCACCAAATGGAAGTGATCTAAAGAGTCGCCTGATAACACTGCATCTCTGCAGCCAGCTCCTACCGCCTTGAGACAGTGTAATTGGACCTGGACTCTAATAAAATGCTGGATTCAATCAAGTGTGTGCTTGTGGGAGACTCCGCAGTGGGGAAAACATCGCTCTTGGTACGTTTCACCTCCGAGACTTTTCCAGATGCCTACAGACCCACCGTGTATGAGAACACTGGGGTGGATGTCTTCATGGATGGTGTACAGATTAGTCTAGGTCTTTGGGACACATCTGGCAGCGATGCCTTCAAAGGCATTCGTCCCCTCTCATACCAACAGGCCGACGTGGTGCTAATGTGCTACTCAGTGGCCAACCACAACTCCTTTCTAAACCTAAGGAATAAATGGATTGGCGAGATCCGCAACCACTTGCCCCGCATCCCTGTTTTGGTAGTGGCTACTCAGACTGACCAGCGAGACACAGGGCCCTACAGTTCCTCCTGCATCAGCCCGATGGACGGGAAGCGGCTTGCGCAGGATGTCCGGGCCAAGGGCTACCTGGAGTGCTCTGCGCTCAGCAACAGAGGCGTGCAGCAGGTGTTCGAGTACGCCGTCCGCACGGTGGTCAACCAAGCCAAAAGACAGAACAGGCGGAAACTCTTCTCCCTGAATGAGTGCAAGATCTTCTGAGTCACATCAGCTGTGGGTTTGCTCACGTTCATCTTTCTTTGCATAAAGGTCTATCAGCAGAGATGGTGAGAGGCAAACAACCAAAGGAGGACTCCCAGCAGAGGATCACATGGCACAGGTGCCCCTAATGAGACAGAGGGATGCTTCGTCTGGTCTGCTTTTCTGTTTGCTTTTTGCCCTTTCCATAGGTACTATATTTAAAAAGGAAAGGTAGGGGTAAATGTCCTCCACAAACCTGTGTTTGGCCTTTGCTGGTCTGGACTGATGGGGATCTAGTCTGGTAACAGCTGTGCTGATGCTGTTGCTGTCACTGATGTTCCTCACTTGTTGGTTTGTCTGCATTTATTTAATGATGGAAACTTCTGCCCAGATCTAACCCTCTCCTGACAGATCTGTCCATGTGAAATTTTTGTACTCTAAGAACTTTGTACATAAAGCTTGACCACTGTATATTCTATTTAAAAGACTTTTCTATATGTTGCTGTAAAATCCTGACAGAGTTTGTTTTCATATAATGGAAGTTTTTTTCCTGTAATTAACCACAAAAGCGAACTGTCCTGTCCATAAAATAATGGCCTGCAGCCTAGCAGTTCTTACACATGTCCAAGCTACTAGACAATAGTAACCAAAGCTGGTGCGCCCAGCTCAGGAGTGATAAAAAATTAGCGACATTTCAAAGCTGTCCTGTGGATTTTTGAGATCTCTTTTGCTTCTTTGTCTCATTCCTAGTACAATGGAATCTGTCTCAGCAATGTCTTTGAAATAGGATGAATTGGGAGGAAACTAAACTGTTACCTTCCTAAATTTGACCTGGTTGCAACCCGAGAAGAGTTGGCTTATAGTGGGCTGCTTTAGATACATGGGTGGGAGAAATCTGTGCTGTCACCTCTGTTGCCTGTGAGGTATTTCTGATGCCGAAAGATTTCAGTCTCCAGGAAACATAGGTGTTTTTTTTCAGGAGAACTAAAATTCTCATATACTTTAGTATGTTTCCTCCCCTCCCCTCACAAAAAAGCCGGTTGTTTTATTGAAAGCAGTCACTAAATGCAATTAAAAAAATAAGTGCATGGCAATATTTTGAATGGCTGAGCAACATTTTGGGGAGTTTTCATACCAGGCATAATTAGAAAAGCAAAGAGTGAAACAGGCTTTGCATCCTGGGGAGTCTGGCAAATGCAAGAGTCAAATCCCGAGGTACTTGGAGTTACTCTCCTGAAGAGAAGGGCAGTTGAAGGAGGTGGGAACTCCACACACATATGAGAGTTCTGCTGGAAGGCGGGTGTGGGTTGAGCCTACAATGTCTGTCATACATTCCTGGTGATTTGCAGTGTCCTCCTTCTCTTCCAGTTATCTGCAAAAAGCCTCTACTCCAAAGCAGCCCTCAGATCTTACAAATCTGTCTCATACCAAGGTTTCTGCTGCCAAGGTGGAAATCTCTTGGGGGGGATTTTAGTGCTGCAAGATTTTTGTTCTTTTTTCCTGCTCTTCAGCTAGCTCAGCAGTGGCTTTCAGGGGGTTCAGGGCATAGTGCTGAGAGAGGCGGCAGGCAGAACAGTAGGATGAGCATCCTCCATTGGGGATCCAAAGAGAACAACCTCAGTTTCAGCTGAGCCCAGCTCATGTATTTCAACAGGAGCAGATGCAAATCCTGATTCAAATCCAAAGGTGGGAACTTCGGGAGTTAGCTCATTTAGCAAATAAGCTAACTGCTTATTTGCAGTAGTGCATCTTCCAATTTATTCCTCAAAAAGAGGTCAGGAGCTCTCCTCATTGCTCTATCTCTGAGCCTCTCCTTGAAAAGAAGTACAAATCAAATCCTTCTCCGATGAATCTGAGAGATGATCTGACTTGTGAGGTAGTGTTTGCATTATGGCTGCCTTGAGGAGCAACTGTGCACAAAACACCCATCAACCTCATCTGAAGGGAGACTTCTTGTCATAAAATGCACATTGGTCTCATGTGAGGCTTTTATACCAGCTTTATATCCTTATAGGCTTCTGCACCCTAGAACACAAGACGAGGGCTCCCCTCACCACCCAGCCTTCCTGTGGTATTCTCCTTCCTGCCACTCTTTCTCATTCTAAAACTTCAGACACAAAGTGCAAAACCTTTGCCCCCTGAAACACTAAAATTGATTATGTTTGCAAAAGAACCTGAACAGCGTGATGCTTATGTATAGCTACAAAAGCACCTAGGTTATTTGCAGTCCTCCCTTAAAAACCTTCCGACTTTTGGACACACACATTTCTACACCTCAGCACTTGCAATGCCTCTTCACTGGCACTTGTCTTTTTTGCAACCCTAATTTGAAAGTAGCTATTGTAACTATTTGAACATTAAAGAATACATGCAAAAATATCCCACTGTTACTCTCCAAACCTTTTACCTTTTTAGAAATTTCTGTTACAGTCTCCACCTCACTAACTGATTTAATATCTAGTTTAGTCTACTTTTATTTGAGATAATTTTTTGCCACTACGTTCCAAAATTTTTTTTTATTGTCTGTGGGTTAAGCTTTCTTTACAACAGTTCACACACATATATACACATATACGAATATGTATATATATCTCATATATATATATGATTTGCAGAATTAGTAACTGCTAGGCCAGGATGCCCTGCTGTGATTTATGCCATGGGATGCTGCATTCAGTGCCCAAAGGGCTGCAGGGTGGCTGCAGACAGTCCTGCTGGAGTCAGATGAACATGTGTTTCAGAATGACGGCCCAAGGAAATTCGCATTTCATCCATATTTGTTTCACCACGCTTGTTACGGTGTGCCACAAGGGCAAAATGAAGACATGAAGGTTTGTTTGCAGTGAAACAAAACAGATGGGGTTCTCAGAGCCATGTGAGTTAACCACGGGGGATGCATGGGGATTTCGGGGTGTCCTGATGTGCCCTTGGTTGGGGGTCCTGGTGTGAGGTCATTGGGTAAAGTCAGGCTGAATTTTAATATCAAGTCAGATAGAGGTGTGCGAGGAATGAAGGGAGTTTGGGCTTGGTGCTATCGAGCACTGGTCCCAGCGGAGCAGCTGCTCGGCAGGGACGACGCGAGGGGACGGGGTGGCGGGCAGGCAGGAACCGACCCCTTGGGCCTCCCATCGCACCAGCCTGGCTTGTTTTGCTCATGTTACCTGGGCCACGGGGTCCGTGGGTACAGCTCTCTGATAAGAATCTGCCTCTAATACTCAAAAGAGATTCAAATGACAGCTGAGCAAGAGTAGTTTCGAATTCTTTTCCTCTGAAAAAAAACAGCAGGTTCGGGGAGAACAACACACTGTGCAGCCTCATGTCTGCTGCGCTGAATTTTTTTCAGCTCGAAACCTTGCCCAAATGCTCCGTTTCAGCCTTTCCAAACCAAACCACTTCAAGTTGTTATTTTTTTGCTACGTTTACTTTGTCACACTGCTAAAATGGCTTAAAATGAAAAAAAAAAGAAAAAGAGGAAAAGAAAGTGCACTACTGTTTTTGTCATCCTTTGACTTCTGACAGAAAAAAAGTCATTTTGGATTACTCTTTTTAAATTAATTCTGCAAGCTGAATAAAAAGGTTGGATGGCAATGCAGTTCTAATTAACACGACGAACAACCCTTTCAGCAACATTTTTTTTTCTTTTGTAATTTGCAAAATGTGATGACAATACATTTTGCCATCTGAAATACAGATTTCACAGCTTTTTCATACTTACTTGATCTGCAGCACACCACACAAAGCTTTTCTAAGAATAAACAACAAAAATAAGTTTCCAATTCTTTTTTTTTTCCCCAGAATTTTCATATGGGAAATCGTTCAAGCCTGTTAGATGTAATTAACAATGTTTTGTCTGTCTGCTAGTTGTAATTAGCAGTTTGCAAATATTTGTGTGATTTTGGTTTAGCTGCTTGTGCTTGCCTTGCTCTGCTCGGCAAAGCTTTGTGTCACAGTTGCTTCTGTTTTTGCGGTTACCTTCTCAGCTTCACGATGCGGGAGGCAACAGCCGGCAGTGGAGCAGCAGGGATGGGGGCAATGGCCAC